TATCGGTCGTCTGGGTATGTCGAGGTCGGTCTTCGTTTCTTTACCCCTCTTTACGATGACGTCCGCCAGCCAGCCTGGTGCGGGGAGTGGAAGGCAGCGCCCCGAGTCCGGGAGTAGGGGACGCGTGGCCTTGTGACCCCGTCGCGCCACCGTAATTTATTTCACGCGGTGTGCCATCCCGTCGATTACCTCACCTCTGAGCGACGAGGACGTCGTCTTCGGGGTGTCGGAGAGGTGTTCCAAGACACAGACATTAACCCCTCTCCCTCCCTCCTCTCTCTCGAACGTTTTGCCGCGTCCCGGTATCCCTAAGAAACGCAGGCCTCTGTAACCGCGTCGTCTCTGAGCATAGGAGGCCATGCTCAAAGACCCGCGTTCTCCCGAAGGCAGCGGTATATTTCGGTACCCGTCAACGCGTGTGAAGCGGAGGCGAGGAAGACCTCCGGTATTTATATCCTTCGAGCCCGCGACTGAGGGAGGTGCGGAGTGGAGAGTGCGGGTTTGAGACCTCGGGCAACGTCGGGAGACCCAGAAGAAGCGAAGGAAAACGGAAAGGAACTCCTGTGTATGCTATGGGTCTGTGGCCAAGCCGAGTTGGCGGCCTTCCCGGTCCGACTGCGGTTTCTGTAGCTCCGGCATCTCGTTTCGGCAGAGGACGGACAAATGCACGTGACTGTGTCGCTTGGGCCGACGTCTCGGACCCCGGTGGCAGTGCGTCGCCGGCGGAGCTCGCCTTCTGCTCCTGGTATAGTGCGGTGTGACCGGTGGTGCCTTGCGTTGCGCGGCAAACCGTAATTTGCTTTTATAAGCTGTTTTTTTTTTTTTTTGTACGCTTTTCTTTTTACGCTCTGTCGTCTGTTTGTCTTGAAACAGCGCCCAGTTTTTTTTTGCGGTCGTGTCTGTGATTTGACGTCCGCAGCCTCCACGATGGTGTGGTGTTGTTTGTGGTAAGCCGGCGCTGTCAAACTGTTGACTCCTCTGGTCGGAACATTGGAAGAAACTTTGCTTCGTCGTTTGTTGGAAAACTTCACCGAAGTGTGGCTCGAGATTTGGTACCGCTCTCCAGTTGTGGCAACCACCTGTGAGCGTAGTTCCTGCAGCAGTCGGCCACCGACGGCTGTTTGAGCGCGTAGCCGGATTGAATTTTTTTCTTTATCGATCCCACCAACAACCCCGCTGTGAAGTATTCGGCAACTGTCGTCTGCCATCGATCCTTGAAGAGTCTTCAAGCGCTGTCATCCGCAAGCGATTTTTTGGATAGTCATCAAGTACTGGACTGCAGGCGAGCCATAGCCTTCAAACGTTGTCATCTGTAAACAAGACTTGGGGAGTCTATCTTCGAGCATTGCCGTATGCGAGCAAAACTTGGGAAAATCTTGTCTCCACCCATTGCCGTCTGCAAGCAAGATTTGGAAAACTTGATCTTTGATGCCCATTTGCAAGCGGGCCCTAATCTTCGAGCGTTGTCGCCTACCAGCCAGATAGTCTCGGAGAGCTGCCGACGCTTGTCTCAAGCCTCGCGGTCCGCAAGCGTGCCTTCCTGACCATGTCGTACGGTTCGTACGGCGGCGGCCGCTATGGCAGCGGCGGCTATTCGTCCGGCCTGGGCACCCCTTACAGCTCGCTGTCTGCGCCGACGGCCCTGCGTCGGTCCCTGTCCCCGTCGCCCGGCGCGTACGGCGCCGATCGCCCGCGCAGCCCCATGAGGACGTCGGGTCTGAGCGCGTACACGGCCGCCGGAGCGCGGATGTCACCCTCCAGGAGTCCCACGCTGTCCAGGAGCTACACCGGGTCGAGGAGGGCCTCCGGTGGTCTGGCCACGCTCCTCGTGAGTGCCGCGGGCGTCCATGTCTCCCGCTATGACCGGGGGGCACTTCCGAAAGAGCTTCTCAAACCATAACACGCGGAAGTATTCGGGAAGCTTATCGGGATAACTTGTGAGGACTTGCTGGAAGTTTCGAGAGTGTCGGACCACGTATCGCTCAAAGACGTCCGCTGCCCTTTCGGGTTCACCAACAGCATGCTCTGTGCCTAACGGTATAGTCCGGCAACGGCAGCGTTTGAACATTTTTAGGCTAGGTGGCGCAACCTACCGCCCATTATAAAGAGTACAGCCGTTATTGTCCATCCCTCCATAAATCCTCCGAGCTAGATTTCTATAGTTAGGGACTTGACAAGAACGCCAGGGAGGTCTCGTTTGTCCCGCTTCCAGGACAAAGTTTGTACATTCCGTAACGCTTCATTGTCTCGTAAGCCTCGAGCATGCACGCGCGGTCAAAGCACGACGGAAGGCCTTCTGCGTACTGCCATCTGTGTTTACTGGTCTGTGCAATGCGTTCTGAGCATGCGCAGTGGCTCTTTTCTCCGGAATATCTGACGCCGCGCAGGGGGGTAGAGTTTAGGGACTCGGCATTTATCTCCTGGGTGACGACCACTGGGAAGGTGTATAGCCCCTACCACTGTACTATATGGTAGGAAGTTACGCGTGTTAAATAAACGTACATGGGTTTTTTTGTGCACCGTTTATTTATTGTAACTACTACCGCCCATCCATTCATCCGTAGTACGCCCCTAATTGAAGATCAAGTCTGACCTCACCTCAAACTCCGTAGGTATCGACGTATAGCGATACGAGGTTCCGGCTCTTGTCAGTTATCACATTGTGGGACAGTATTTTTTTTTTTATTGATGTTAGTAGGTAAATTGATAAAAGATAAACGGCCGGCACTCCATTTTATCGTGTGACATCCTCATTGCACCGCTTGTCTGACAAGCCTGATTCACACGGTGCAACCCGAATCCCCAGTTGAGACATCCAACACCGCAGCTTCCACCACGCTTTTTTTTTTCTTCTTTTTTTTCCTCACCATCTACGACTTAACTGCTAAATCGTAAGTGAGATCGCATCATGCTAATCACTCATAATGAGGTTAGGAATCAGTGGCTTATTGTCGGAAATAGCGTAATTTTTTTTTTTAATTGTGATTGGGCGACGAAAACAATGTTGCGGAGTTGCTACCGGTTTTAGGCGAAGTGGACGAATTCGTCGGTCGAGGTTTATTTCCTCTCGGCAAAAGATCGCTTATTATAATTATGACGTTTTAGTATCCAGCTGCCGCTCTGATGGCAGCATTTGCCCATGCATTCCGGCTGCCGCAAGGGGCGGAGCGCGGAGGCAGGCATTTCGTATACATTGGAGTGTCACATATGGTTACCAACTAGCTTTACGTTTTATTCTCTGTAGTTATCGGTCTTCGTGAGAACCGTGGCAATATTGTTTGTTATCAAAACTGCGTCAGAACATCTTGGCGATATCCCGCATTGCCTGGTGAAACAAAACAGCAGAGGGGGAGCAAATTAACTTAAAAGGGCGAAGGGATGAACCATACTTTTGGTTTGTACGCAGGGTGGCGTAAGCTACCGCCCGTTATAAGGGTACAGACTAGCATCCATCCATGCATTAAGGTTTCCTCCGTTAAATACTTACCAGTCAAGATTTTTTTTTTTTTTTTTTTTTTTTCGCAGTTGTATGGCATTGCTTCAACGCGAAACTAAAGCAGCAGCTTCGCGCTATGGTTGGGATGGTTATCTGCGGTTGGGCGCGCTCCAGGGAAAACAGAACCGAGTAACCACCATATCTCCGAGATTTCGAGTCGCGTATACAAAAAGCTATCAAAGAGAAGTTAATGCAGTGTAATGAGTGCATTACTTCTTGACGAGCGTTAGAAATAGCTATATATTTAGATTACAACGTGGAGTTGTCAGCGTATACTTGGCTTGAGAGTTTTTTGGAATCGCGCTTACCATTGCGGCTGTTGTCCTTCAGCTGGCAACGTTGATCTCTTTCTCGGGGCCCATATCACATGAGCGAATGACTGGAGCGCGTGTTAACCCACCCGCCCCCCTGGGGCGTTCAGGCGCTTCGCGGCGACAGCCTGCGGTGGCTCATTACAAAAATGTTAACCCACATGGCATTCGCTAAGGTGTCTTTCACTGAAAAGTCTGCGTTCGCTAAAACGCCTTTCGACCAATTGAGTGCCACCCCCTAACCCCCTGAATGGCAGAGGGAGGGGGGTTTTTACTCCGAAGACATCGGCGTGCGAGCGCCGTGGTGCACGCTTTCCCGCACACACCCGTGTTCGGCAGCAAAGCGTGCTTGCCGGTTCTGGAACTTTTAGCGCAATCACTTCTCTTTTTTTTTTTTTTTTTCAATATTTTTGAGTTGCTGAAATTAAACGTAAGAGTATGACATTTTTGTTGCGTACCACGAGTGTTAAGCTGGCGAGGAAAACGATGAAGTACTCACTCTCGCACGTTGGTCATATGTCTTGGTGTATGGACACTGTCTCAGTGTCTCACTTTCAAGCCAACCACTTTTCCCAAACGCTTCTTCTTTTTTTTTTGTCACGGGTTTTTGTGTGAACTTGCGTAGCAGCACAGCTTGTTAAAAACCTCAAAATGCCTCCCCTTCTCTTTTTACTTTTTTATTATTATTAAGCAGTAAAAGGAGATATTCACCCGGTGAAATTTTCTAAGTTGTGTACTTTCTGAGAAACACAAAAATAAAAATAAACTGAAGCTAGAAAACTAGAATGGTGAAAATTTAATAATGGAGTCAATCGACATCACATGCTTGCTTCACTCTTAGTGAATACATGCTGAAATGTTTTATAAATTGGCAGATTTTCGGCGTTTAGGTAAACATGAAAGTAAGCGGGTTCAGCTCTGAACAGCCAATTCTCCGCCGATGCTTTTCGTGTGGGACAAGATCTATATTTTGAGTCGCAAATATTTCTCGATGGTTTGTCCCTTATCGGTCAAGTTTCTCTAAAAGCCTAAGCATTCTTAAGCTCTTGTCCCTGTGACCATTCAGCCATGGTTGCTGGTCGTCTCTGCTTTCGGGGCTGTTTTAAAGCAGCTGTTTCTTGCCACAGATTGAGCTGGATTGAGTTGGATTGAGCCGGATTGCAAGCGTGCCGCTATGGTTGCTTGGAACGCAGAGCATGCCGGACCCTGTGCGCGCGAGGAGCGGCTCCGCGGGTTCTCTGGCGGACAGCACCAAGTCGGAGACGGAATCTCGGCTCAGCAGCAGCGCGGCCAGCCTCCAAGACGACGACGAGCTAGACTACAAGAAGGTGAGGGCCACGGCAGACTCTCGGGCGTGTGCGATTTCCAAGCGGGTTTTTCGACGTCGACTTCACGTGCCTAGACGTGGAATCAGCTTTTGAGGAGTAGACCACATGCGAAAAGAAGCGCCATGTAGTGAGCTTACGATCCAGTTTCAGGCATATCAAAGGGGCAATAAAAATAAATTTTCATTTTTATTTTTAAAGCTCGCAAACAATGTCGTACGCCTTTTCATTGCAGTGATGAGGGAGAACAACTGTGGGTAGCCTGGAGGTTACGATGTCGTGGCATAACGGCTGCAGCAACCTAATTTTGTTTCATTGGCCGCTCAAAGACCTACCATAAAATACCGGGCAAGCGCCCACTCAAACTTTAAATATAATCGCAAAAAAATGGGGGATGGGCGCTTGTCTGGTCATCAGTTTTACATATAAATGTACTGTGGGTATTTTCTCAGATCTCACAAATTTGGCGATGGGCGCTTAATGTGGGATGGGCGGATGCGCGGTATTCTACGGTAGTTTGTTGAGTTGTTTGTCTTTAAATCTTTTTTTTCCAAAGTAGGAAGCCTAAAGAAGCTCTGAAACAATGCTGGCTTCTGCAGCGTTGTTTCACCGCAAAAAATGCACATCTTTATGTGGCTAGGGGATCGTGCCACATTAGAAAGGGTTGTTAAGGTGGAGGCTTACGCAGGCTGGTAGTGCATACCGTTAAAAGAGGTACGGTATAAAAGGGCGAAACACACACAGAATGAAATCTGCCAAAGCATTGTGGTGAGTCTCTTTCTTCTTGTATTCGTTTCTTTTATAGCTTACAAAAGAGCCGAGGACTCTGTGCCTAGGTTCAGGAAAGAAACATGTTATTCTTAACTGCAGTGTCCAGAAAATGTCATTCTTTATTTTGATCCGTGTTGGTGCCTGCACTAACACGTGTATGAATTTGGTTGCTGCGGCAGCTCTACCTGGAGCTGAAAGAAGTGCACGAGCGGCTCAAGGGCAAGGTGTCTCGGCTGGAGGATGAGCTGGATTCCACAAAGCGTCAGCTGGAGAAGTCTCAGCTGGTGAGTGTCTCTGGCATTTTGCATCTTTCACGAGGGAGGTCGTTTGTCTCTTTATGCCCCCGTTGTCCCTTTCTTTAACCCCCCCCCGTGTCCCTGCCACAACTGCCGTACTCCCACGAGGATTCCTATCTATTTGTGTCCCTGTTCCCACATATATCCATATTAGATTTTGTCCCTCGAAGATTCTTTGTTTCTGTGCCACCCAGTGTCCGTTCCAGAATTCCCATGTTCCCCGCGAGCTTTCCTACCCTATTTGTCCCCGATCCCCAGTGGGATCCCTGTTCTCTACTTGAGATTTTGTCCCTTGAAGTTTCCTTCCTTTCTTCTCTGGGGATTACCTTTTTCCCAAGTAAATACTTTTTTGTCTTTGTGAAAACTCGTTGTCCCTCGAAGATTTGTCTTGTCTCGTGTGAGGATCCCTGTGGGGGATCCTTGTTGTCCCCGTGAGATCCCGGTTTATTGCCCCGTGAATTTCCGTTCTTTGTAATTGGTGCCACCCACATTGTGATCTCTGAACATCCCGAGAGGAACCGCCATTTGTCCCTGTGCACTTCCGCTTGTCCCCAGAAATCCCTGTTTGTGTAAACTGCCACTGTCCCTCGAAAATGACACCAGTTAACCTGTGAAGATTCCTATTGTCCTTAAGAGATTTCTTGAGGGAAGCGCCTCAAGAGGATTCTTACTAACCTTTGTCAGAAGGGTTGGGAATCCCTTTCTGCCGGTAACTCACGTTCATCCCTAGGGGGTATATCCCTCTCATCCGCGTTTCCTCCCCCTTGAAATTTGCATCTGGATCACAGCCCCGTTAAAAATTGACAATCCCCAAAAAATCCCCAGGTGGTCGAAATTAATTCTGCTGAGCTTTCAGCCATCTTCCTCTAAATTTGACAGAGTTTGATTGCTGGCCACCTTAGTGTACCAGCTTCAGCCGGGCACCCAAACTTGGGGGGGAAAGCCGCGGGTCTTTGGTTTCATCCCGTGGAATAGGGGATGATTTTTTGCTAAAGTGAAAAAGGGAACAGGGCAGTGTTCCTAGGTGCATACTTTGGGAAGTGCCTACTAAACTTGCTTCTTAGCCTAATTGACGCGCTTAAATCGAGTGGTAGGACTGAATGATGCGGGGCCCTGAATCCCTCCAGACTCTGACACTTCCGCATTAGTGCTTGTTTCAGAAGTGTCTGAAATACCTCACACTGACGGTGCGTCTTCGTAAGCTTCTACCTGCAAAGGGAGAGTCTCAGATTTGAGCGGATTTGCCATGACCCGCGATGGTGCGAACCCAAGTAAACCTTGCGCAGAAACTCGTCCGGTCTAAAGCGTCGGCTCGCTCTCGGTGTCGCGAGCTAGTGCCGAGTGTCGTTCGAGAAATTTCCTGTCTTAAATTTACTCTTCGGACTTGGGTTCTGAGCAGCTCGTGCCAGTCCAGTTCTAACATTAGGTTTGTGCATTGTTCGGTCGCAATAACTTCACGTTTTTGCTGCAACGTAAAATAAATGTGTCGCGTTTGCATTTTAAACTTTCGGCACCCTCGCCCGCGTCCTCCTTTCGGACTTGAGTTGTTACGTCGATTTGCATCCTGCCTCGGCGGTTACTTTTGCGTTTAACTCTTTAACAGATTGTTGTTAATTGTTTAGCTGTGATTTACTTATATGTTTTCATTGCATGTTGCCCTAGTTTCCCTTTGTGTCTCACCTAACATTGCTTCGTGTCACTTCACTTATGCAACTTTTGTTTTTTCTACAATAAGTTGAAGTGGGGGCAGCTTGAAGGGACAGTCCTGCTTGGATCGCCCGTCTGATTTGTCTGTACCGCATAATTTCAGAACAATCGGAATTCTCTAAGCGACGCAGAGAAGCGGGTGAGTTGGGGAAAGGCCTTCTTCTCACCCCTTTTTTTACGCACTGTAGCATGGCTTTTCTTTTTTTCTATCTTGTGAACACGAAGACTGGTTGTCTTTTTTTCTATATGTTTTGTTTGATCTTTTTAGTGTTTGACAGAGATTGAGGAAGTTTGGGCTTCTGGGGGTTTCTGCCGTGCTGGGATTGTCACTGGGACCGAAATCTGTGCGAAGGGGGAGGTTTAAACGGAGCTTGCCGAGGCTGCGGTGGAGAGCATTTGTTCCGTGGGCTAGTTTTCCCGCGTGTTTTTGACACCTGCAGCAGTGAGGTTGGCTTTCTAGGTGTGACGCAAAACATTGATAGCCTTTAATTTGGGGACAAATTGGGCTGACAAAGTGCAGTGGCCTAATTTTGATTGTCCAGCTGGAAAATGAAAACATTTGAGCAATCTGTCGCCCCGCTCAACTCAGTAGCCAAGTTAGATTAAAGCTAGAAAAATTTGTCTCTTCGCTTGTAAGAATTATGTTTTATCGTTAAAAATTACCGTTAAATAAATAAAATAATACTCGTTAAAAGAGGTATGGTAACCATTCTGCCTTGCCTACTAATAACAGAGTCCCAAGCTGTAACCTTTTTTTGTTTTAGATTGACATGGCAAAGCAAGATAATGTGGGATTCGTTTGCTTATTTAGGAACTTTCGTGGTTCATTTCTGGGTATTATAAGACGAGGGAAGTCAATGACCGGGTGTTGTTAGGGCACCACAGCTTGTACTGGAGAACCCAGGTTTCCTGTATTCGATCGCCGCCCCTGCCCATTTTATTCTGAATGAGCATCGTATCACTGCTTTGTGAGCCACGTTAAAGACGCCAGGCTAGCTGTCTTATTGCACGGGCTAGATTTCATACCTACAGTGCGAACCAGTGTTGCCTTACTTTGGCAGTCTTGAAACTATCTAACGTCTCCTTCGCTTTTGCATTATGCAAGGGGAGGTTAGCCAGAATTGAAGCCCAAGAATTATTACTGTATATAATCACTTTCAAAATTATCACTCGTAATATGATGACTTGCTCTAATATGAATTGCACTGTGGTCACTTGCGAAATGGTTCGTTCTGAAGCAGTCGTTTCCAAAATTATCACCTGCAAAAAGATTTATTTCCAAATGGATCACTCGCAAAATTAGCACTCCTTCTATGTCTAAGGGAATATAGTAGTAGTAGTAGTTGAGCTAACATGAGGTCTTGCTCGGAACTTAGGCATATGCTCGCACGATCCAAGGGACTAACCGAACCTGTGTCTGTCTTGTTTCTTTGTTTGGTTCGCTGTAGGAACGCCGGGCTCTCGAGAGGAAAATCTCGGAACTGGAGGAAGAACTCAAGGTGAGACTTCCTCTGTTTCATCACCGCATCTCTTCTGCACCTGCGCAGTGTAGACACTGTGTCGTCGGTTCTTCTAACGGGCTCGAGTGCTGCCACGATCGTCACCTCGAATGCCACTTTTGAAGGGGGCGTTCGTCATCAACTCCATAGAGTGGAGCAGATGGACGGAGTGTTTGTGCAGGAAGTGTTGGAAAGGTTCTCTGGAAACTGCCATTTTGTTTGTCTTAATGGTTGTGCTTCCTAACTAATTTATGGAGAGTCATGTCTTCATGGAACATTGATTTATTGAACGGCACATGTTAGTGTCTTGACTCTGCGCAGTGTCACGGAAAGATGTACATGATTGGCTGTAGGCCACACCCAAGCAGCACAGAGTTTGGCAAAGCATTGGCCAATGGCCAAAGAGTGTGGCCAAAGAGTTGCCTTTCACTGGCGAATGCTTGGCTGATGGCCATTGGCCATTGACTAATGGCCAGAGAAAAGCCAGTCATCACCAATGGTTGGTGACTGTCTGGCCACTGGCCAAAGGACCATTGCCAGCCGTTGGCCAAAGATTGGCCAAGTCCGTGCTGCTTGGGTGTGCATCCTCACTAATTCAGCGTGCGTCGAATTCTGCAACGTGCTGTGTGAAACGACTGGTTTGGACCTAATGAATCGGCCAGTAAACTGCCAGCGCATTGAGCTTTGTGTCAGCACTCGGTGTTTTATGCATATTTGTTGTGAACAGTTTATTATTAAGTGGCACTAGGAGTCGAAATAGTGAACCTCGAAATGTACCGGGCTCTCTTCACAGTCTGCTTGTTTGTATAGCTCTGTTTGTGTGGTCTGGCTAACCTTGGACATCTACACAAAAAGCTGCCGGTCACTTGACGGTTTGAGTTCGGTCTTTTATATTGATGTCTTGGCCAGGAGGCACCGCATGTTGGCAGTTTGCCGACGCAGCTAGCCACTTCTTTCGACGTAAGCGTATGTTGTAGTGCTTGCTGCTACCAGTGCTGCTGCTTCTGTTCAAATGTCTAAAGAATTTGTCTTTGTGTCTTGCTCCTTGTGCCGCTTCTTAGCGCATGTACGTATCGGTCTATGTGTTACATAATGTCAGCATTTGTCGAAGGCTAGTGCTGCCAAAAAGGAGCGTCAGGATGCCAAGGCGTTTTGTTACGCGCTTGTATTTGGTGCTTGGGCAACCAATGGAATTGGCTGTCTGGGCATAAAGTTATTTTGTGACGCTTGAACCTTGGGGTAAAGGCTGATGTTGTGACTAACTTATGCATGCCTATATACCGTAGTGTGCTGGCTAGTAAAACCAAAACCATAATTTTGGTTTTAATTTTTGGTGCAATTTTGTTTGTTGTCCAGGATTTTTGCTTTACTTTTTGACACAGTTTTGTTTGTCTTGAGTAAAAATTCACCTAGTTTAAGAAATTTTCTCCCAGCACACCCAACTAATTAATTGGTTTTGTTTTGAACAGTGCAGTGCTGAATATATTGAAACAGCTGATGTGGCTGAAAGAAACCTGCAACTAAATTTTAGCGCTCTGTGGAGCTCAGGTTCTTGGGAATTGCCGGCTACTGGTCAACATTTGCTGCAGATGATATTTGCCAAATGATGTAACCACAGACAGAGTTGTGGTGCAGTTTGGTGTTTAGCAAAACAATTTGCGAAACATAATTACGGTGACGCTCGTGACATATAATAATAAGCCCTTTAATGTTCTTGTACCTTAGTGGGCTTGTTCTGTACATAGATTGCTTAGTTTTAAAAAACATGCGAGAAGACAAACGTAACGTTGCATAGAAACTTCTGTTGCAGTAGAAGTCTTTCTAGGGTGTGCAGGTTTCGGTAGAAGAAAAAGGCCTAGTCTTGGATTAGGGCTTCTACTTTTCTCTTTAACCCTGCATGGTTGCAAAGTTCTTAGTGTGTGTGTTATTTTTTTTTATGTCCATGCTGACAAACTTTTCAGTTTTGCTTTTTGTTAAGTACATTCTCGTACAAATTTGCGTCATACTCTTCAGCCCAGTTATAACACACTCAAAACGTTTTTGCTAAATGTGTTTGTTGTGATCGGTGGTTTGAATCTTAAATGGACTGGCCTCCACGGTAGGCCTTGCTCAAAAGCTTCTTCAGATGCCTTCGTCGAACTGGGTTTCCAGACCTTTGTATTCGAGGCCTGGAGCTTTCTGCTGTAAAAGGAGCAGCCTTTTTGCTACAAAGCACTTGACAAGTGTTTTGTGGTGCTTGATTACGTGATATTGAAGTTGGCAGTGGACTCTGGGCAGCCTAGGCCTGATAAGTGTTTGGCGTTTTAATCGTTTTTTTTTTTTCGAGGAAAGCTCGGTTATCTCAAATGCTTTCTGGGTTATCTGCAACAATGTGCCTGTGGTAAAGAAATGTAAAAAGGTATGGGTATAGCGATGCAAAGTAGAAATATGCTACTACTGCCGGAGCAGAAGTTTTGAGTACCGACAGAGTGAAGCCTTTTGCCGAAAACACCGGCTTTATTGCGGAGAAGTTCTGCAGCATGCCGGGTGAGCTTCGACAGCCCCAGAAGCAACGCGTGCCAACATGCTGGCAACCGTCAACCAAGCACCGGTGGAAGGGGAAGTTTAAAATGTGCAAAGCGACCCGTCGCCCGCATCTCCGGAATTCTGGCGTCCAGTCTTGGGGACGCCGCCTCAGCCTCTTTCCCTGTGCGCCGGGTGTCTCCTTGCAGGGCCTGCCCCAACTCAAGGCCGAGAATGCGAAACTGAAGGCAGAGAATCGCGCGCTGACGCGCGTGGTGTCGAACTTGTCCAAATAGGTAACGCCCCGCCGGCCCGGGTGACTTTCTTTCTTTTTTTTTTTTTTTTCTGCAACCGCACGACAAAGTTTGGTTGTGCCTGCCGACGGACCGAGGATTGACCCTTGCGCAGCCCCTCTCCGATTAACACCGTTTGCATTCTGGCGTGCGTGGACTAACCTTCGTCCGAAGCTACCGGGATCGAAGCTGTGCTCGGCGGCTGCGTTGGCATTTGCACTCTGTGAAAGTGGACAACCGGAATCGACTTTAAAGGCCGAGTCACCCAGTTGCGCTCGAGTGGAGTCGACTGCCTTTCAGCCGCTCGTGACCGCTTGCAACGAAAGGGCACACTGGCACCGATCATTGTATACCTTAGGCAGCCTTCTTTCACTCTGTGCCAGAAATACTGACAGTGTTATAAGCGACCTTTTCTCGGATAGTGCGTGGATTTTATCTCGGAAATACTGCGAAGCCTTCAGTCTAGCCATACGCAGCTTTGGAGAGCTCCGGGGTTACCCCACAGAGGGCGCCGGTGTATTTTCTTGTTGTAGGCAGTCGCACGCGGTTGCCACACAGTCGATTGCGGCCGGACGCAAACGTGCGGACCAGCCTTCAGAGCTCGGTTCTTGGGACTCGGGATGAGGTGTATCGACTTTGTTTACTCTGAACCCCATGAAGTTGATTAACCTGGTTGCATTAATCCGACTTTGTTAACTATACACAGAGTTTGAATCAATTTTGCTAACCTTGAGTCGTGTTTAAGTTGAACCGAGTTTGCTAACCATAAACAGAGTTGAGGTTGAACCAGAGGATCTTAATTGAGGTTGAACCAGTTGGCTAACCGTAGACAAAGTGCTAGTGAAATCAGTATCACTAACCCTAAACCAAGTTTAAATTGAATAAACTTCGTTAACCGTAAACCAATGTAAGTCGAGTCAGCTGGGCTGACCTTAATGTAGTTTGAAACAGTGTTGTTAACCGTAGTCAAGGTATGCGGAGGGCAAGTTCGTCTGCTTCTTGCGCAGGGGGTAGCGGTGACGTCAGAACGCCGAGCCCTGATTGGCTGATCGCGACCCCCCTATCTGAGCGTCGTCTGCCCTTTCGCAACGTCGTCTGCTCGCAACGTCGTCTGCGGCTGTCTTACCTTTCCTGCGACTTTCGGAAGTGCAAAGGCCAAATTCACGAAACGATCTTACGCCAAAAATGTGCGTAAGACATAACTTAAGAACAAATTCGTATTCACGAAACGAAATTTTCGTAAGTTTTGCGCAGGTTACGACGAAATCCTACGACAGCTCCGAAGCTGTCTTACGCACTTACGATCACATCAGCATGGCCGAAAGCGTCGCGGTCGCGACGACCCACGGACGTTTATTTTTTTACGTGCGCTTCTCACGCGTCCCGACTTCAAGCAGCAAGAAAAAAGTAAAAAGTACTTCAAACAGACCATGACGAACAAGAACGCTGGATCCACAAATACCCGGGAAAAGCTCCGACGGTCACGATTCCACCGAACGCGACCAAGCGAGCACGGCAGTTAGGCCTAGCAGGCACTCCGCCACTCGGCGACCGTCTGCCCATGACCGGCTGGTGTGCTGAATGGAATATGCCCGCGCGACCCTTGTGAACCCTTCCCGTATTATACTTTGATCGCTGACCTCAATTTTAGATTAAGAGGTCAATTTCTTCCTTTTGTTATCTCCTTGTTTCCCGAGGCAACGGTGACTCTCGCCGGTGAAAAGGCGGTGAATCTCCGACAGACGCAGGAAAGGTAAAACAGCCATCGCTTTGACTAGCAGACGTAAAGCAGACGACATTAACTGCGCCAACCCGCCGACGCCGTTAAAGAATGAGGGGTCTCGCGGGACACGAAAGGAGGGTAAAAGTATTTGGGAGGGAACTCGCAGATACTAACACGCTCACTCTCGGTTTTTAGCAAACAAACCTCGGCACCTCGGGCCAGTGAGTCCTTTGACTTCCCTCCTTGATGCGCGTCCGCTAGTAGTTAGACAAAAACAATGTACCGCTCGAGTTATTTCGTCTGCCCTCTCTGATAGGCGAAGTCCAGCTCGCTCGTAGAGACGTGCACTTCCGAAAGTCGCAAGAAAGGTAAGACACACGCGGACGACGTTGCAAGCAGACGACGATGCAAAGGAGCAGACGACGCTGAGATAGCGGGTCGCAATCAGCCAATCAGGGCTCGGCTTTCTAACATCACCGCTACTTCCCTTCTCATGCGCAGAAGACGAAAATGAGCCCACTTGCGAGGCGTATAAGTTTGGCCAGGTTGAAGTTCAATTAGGTCTAAGCTTACGGATCGGAATCCAGGTCGAAATTTAACCGCCACTGGGAGATTTCAACTGAGTGAATGCTTAAGCATGTTGTTGAGGTTCGCCAAGGTCGGACATAGCCATCTCAGTTAAAGAAGTTAAAAAAGCTTCAAAGCAACTTGGTTGGCCTGTCTAATGGTTGCAGTGTGTTGTTGCTGTTAACACTGATACACCACCGAATGCACCATACTGCGGCAGTGCATAACATCTCTGGTGATCTGCATCGAGCACCTGGGTAGACTACATTTGCAGTGTTGAGTGTGGCCTGCCTGATGTTGTTTGCAAGAGTGCATTTGTGAAGCGGGCTGCAACACTCATTGATAGCATGGTTTGTGTTGCGAGATGTTGTGTTGTAGCACTTTCTGTATTGATTTACCTGTTAGTGATGGGGCAGACATCCTGTTGAAACTAGGAAGAGTTACACACTCCCTAGGGCTAAGATGTGTACACTTTGATCGACCCTAAGCTGAGACCGGCCAATGCTACAAGCGCGAGAAAATGAGATGGCAGCTTTGGAACGTTCTTCTGCAGAAGGAGCGCTCGCACTAGAACAGCCCGTCTCAAAGCCAGGAGCGCAGGCTAGTTCGTGCTTGTAGCTTTGACTGCATTTTCAACTGTAAGTGTGAACTGAGCAATATTTGGTTTTTAATCGTGTTAATACGTAACAAGGTCAGTGTTAAAAGAAACTGTTGTAGTTGCTCTAAACATTATATTGTTGTCGGCTCTTTTTCTTTTTTTGTGGAATGGGTTGAAATAAATTGATGCTACACATAATCGGCAAGGGCAAGTTGCAACCAGTTAATAATTTGGGTATAGTTTGAAACTTGACCCGACCCAGTCAGCTTGTGAGGCTTTTTTAGTGTGACAGGCAAGTCTTGTCAGCGAGTGTAGCTTGCAAGATGGGTTTGGTCATTATGAGGAAAGCCCACACTTGGGGCTACCGCTCCATGACTAAGTAGTAGAGCACGTGAACCAATGCCTCTGAGGCCCTTTAGACTGCCTGCGAAATCGGTTTCTCAACGTATCGCGCTACGATTTACTACAGAGGTGCAAGCAGGTGGTGGAATGTTAGTGAAGAAGATTGAGGATTGAACTTGCCTCGTTCGAAATAAAAAGAATTGTGCGACGATCGCACGACGCGATGCGTTTAGACAGCGTCAGCTGTGCTGCTTATTCAACTATACGACGATGACGATCAATTGACATTACGCGGATCATGCTGTTGTTGTGTTGATCTGATATTGAAATGATGTTGCGTTGATTTAGCGTAGATATGTTGCTGATGAATAAATGATTTTAGGGTCTTGATGCGTTTTCCCACCAAATTTAGTGGGGAAGCTCGGTTGTTCCATGGATCGTGTGATGTCAATTTTTCTGCTAAATTTAGCGGGGAAACTGAATTGGTGCATCGGTCTCGTGAAGTCACTTTTTCCGTTAAATTTAGCAGGGTTAAAATGGACACCTGTTCTGGGCAATCTATGCAGTTACTTTGCAGACGACGCATGCGTAAGCAGAAGTGCTGCCGACAGACGTCGCGTCAAGGGAGCACCTGCTCATCAGGATTCTTCCGTGAGATCATCTACTATCATAACTCGGCACTTCCTCGACGCGGCGTACGCCATCTGTTGGCAGCACTTCTCTCTATGCATGCAGCGTCTGCAAAGTGGTGGCGTATTTTTTTTAAAACAAAATTTAATTTTTTTTTTTTTTTTTGAACGAGGGAAGTTTATTTTTTTAGTTTTTCACTGCAAACTTCCGCCACCTGTTTGCACCCCAGTAGTAAATTGGAACACAATACGTTAAGAAACCGATTTTTGCGGGTTGTCTAACGTGCTTTTAAAAGAGTTGGTTTATGCGCTGTAGTTTGTGCATTGCTGTGTTGTCACATATGTGCGTCTACCATCTTGTTTGTTTGCCACTTTTGAGTCGATCGGAGTTTTGGCGTTGTTTCCAGACTTCGATGCCGATACCCGAAACTTGGCCATCTCCAGTTCATCTTAGTCTAAGTTTAGATGCTGCTTGGAGGAAGACTTTTTTAAATGTGCTAGGGGGTGATGTTTTTGTTTTGTGGGGGGTGTTTCCTTTTGTTCTACAACAAATTTTTCTTGTGGAGGTAACAACTAAATTTTTGTTCTATTTTGCCTTTACATTTTGATTAAAGTTGTAATGGTTTTGTTTTAATCTTGTTGGGTACCGGCGTATGGAAACCAACGTCTCAACTCCCCAATGTGCGATGAGCTCACAATACGTGCACGGCTTTGTGACAGCTTTTCAAATGTCCATTCTCTTTTCTTAAAGTCGATTCCAGGGTTTTCACAGGTCCTGGGAACCTTGATTAGACTGGACTTGCTATGTTCCAGGACACGAGAAACCTAGACTTCTAAGATAACCACTGAAAGCCATTTAGTACAATTGTATTTCTATAATCGTAGTTTCCTCTTGCGTGTTGTTGAAAGCTCGTAACTCAAATGAGCATCTTAAGAACTGCAAATTTTTTCGTTATAAGTATTTTTGTTTTGAGAGTGCTCCCAATTACTACTGGACTCAGCATTGTTTCAGGAGCGTTGTCACTGCCTCTGTTGCAGTGTGAGAAATCCATGTCAAAATGATAGTCTAGGTTTCTGGGGTCCTTGAAAAGTTCCAGTTCGTTGTCATTGAAAATCCTGGAATTTGTTGGCTCAAAAGCTGTGGGGCCCTTAAAGGCTGAAACTGTGTCCTTAAAACGAGGCTAAAAGTGTGACCTGTTAAAATGCTGTAGAAGGCTGAACATGCGTAAAATCTACCTCATTATATGTTAAAGTGGGGCATCGATAACTAAATCTGTTCTTGCCGCAAAGAAAACATACTAGTAAAAGGGTACTCGTGTGAATTTTCGAGCTGCCCCAACTAGCTATATATTCGGAATCACATGCCCTTTGCGGCATGCTATTTAGTGTCACGAAATTCAGAACAGGTATTGTGAGATCGGCAAGTGAAAATGATTCCAAAACCAACATTAAAATATAACCGCGCTTTTCACTGTCACGACGTCGGAGGAAGGCAGGCTTCGCAGGTCCAGGGGGCAGTCTAAAAATGGACTACGCCGAGCATTTGTTTGGTGCTGCTGGGCATGATACACCATGCACATGCTTCTAATCGTACCAAAGTCTACAATCCAAACAGTGAGCCCCTGCCTTCCGCTGAAGTCACTTTTTCCTGGTTGCCGTTAGAGACTTTCACTTTGAAAAACACGCTGAGGACCGAAACTGCAAATTCGATACCTTTGCAGAAGAAAAAGAAAGATTCTTTTGCCCAATATTTGCGTTATTTCAGTTATGTTTGTTGGTGTGTTTAGCAAATTTTTAGGCAAATCTGGCACTACGAGGAAAACGCCAAAGTGCCCCTTAACAACTGTATCCGCTGAGCAACGTTTTCATTCCACACCTTGGAAAGATTTATAGTATGTGGTTGAAGCCTGGTACAGCCCCAAGTGGGGAAATTGGAATGTAACATATTATTGAGGCAGCTTTTTTTTTTTTTTAATTATGTGGAGGTACTGTGCAGCTGCTCATAACCAGCCTCAAATTATATTTTTCAAAGTGAATATTCACCTGTCCCAGAATGTGCTTGGTAGTCGGTTAATCAAGTTGGTGATCTCTTGTAAAGCATTTTTAAAAAGGATCTTGAGATGGCAAGTTTCTTTTAGGGTGGAGCTTGGCAAGAATACCTCGCAGCCTTGGTAGACAATCTAATGTCTATACTCGGTAGGAAAGAAAGAAAGAAATCGCACTCTTCTTGCTGACTGGTCTTTTAGCGATGATTGAAGAATTTTTTACTTCAGCTTAATACTTCAGGACATGACGTGTTGCGCTCAGAACATGACATGTCACGCTCGGAACATGACGTGTCACGCTTAAAAAGTGATACGTCGTGTCAGAAGACGACGTGTCGCACACACACAGAATCTTGCGTCGAGCTGATAAGAGTCCCTTGGGAACTTGGGGTCTTCTGGTTCTGTGCCGCCAGCTTTAATTTCATCATCCCGTTGTGAACAGTTGGTTCAGTCAAGTGACCAATTGTCCTAACGAGATGTACATAGCACGACGCCGTGAGTGCAAACAAGAAATCGCCGGTTTTTCTTCCTTGGAAACAAAGCTGTGGTCAAAATGTTTAGTGTGGTGGGAAGTGTTTGTTTGAGGCCCTAAGGTTATATTCAATGCCCGCCGATAGATACCCTTTCGAAGTAAGGTGCAGCAAAGGAGCTACGCAGCTACCAGACCAATGAACAGCCTCCATTTCATCACCTCGCCCCGCTTTCTGTACGTGGACATAGGCAGAAGTGTGATCGCACGGTGAAAAATAGACGCACGACTTGTCTATTGGGCATGTAGCCACCACTGCACTGTCAGCTTAGAAGATGAACAGAGAATAGCATAGTCTCACTCTCACTGCATGTCAGCGGATTCCTTTAGTTTGCATACGTGGGGCTCTCCGGACGTCGCTCTTATTTCGGCGTAGCATCGGGAAATGCTCAAGCATTCTTTTTTCTTTCCTTCTTTTTTTTTTTTTCTTTTGTGGAAGCAGGGGGACCAGGGTCGGACGGAGACGTCTCGTCTCCGCGAGGAGAATGCCCGCCTGCGCGAAGAGAACGGAGCCCTCATCCGGGTCATCAGCAAGCTGTCCAAATAGGCTGCTACGCGGCCCAGCAAGACGTCCGAGTAGACGGCCGTGCGGCGGGCAGCCGGAACACGCTCCCTCCGACGTCCCACTTCGACCCTGCCACCGAAAATGCTCACTCCGCGCCACCACTTCTTTGTTCCCACCCCCTCTTTTTTTTTCCTCCTCGCCTTTTATTTTTGTTCCCTCTCTCCCCATTACGTCGTGGTTGTTTGCCGCTTTCCTTGTTGTCGGAGCGGCGACGGAACTTGTCGGCAAGTGGACGACCGTCGTCGCTGCCGTCGTACTCGTCGTGGGCCGAGAAGACGCCGTGCCGCAGCAGAAAAGTCCGTGTGCGTCAACCGTTTGTGTCCGGCCGACCGATCGAGAGAAAGACGACGTGTCTGTCGTCCGCTTGCGGCAGAAAGGACGGAAGGAAGTTTTTTGTTTGATGCATGTGTGAGGGTTGTTTTACATTTTTAGTAAAGTCTTTGAACCGAGCTCGACGGGGAAAGACACCGGTGACGATGTCAATTTATAGAAATCTGAGGTTCTTCTGGGAGGACGGACTTATTGGCAGCGAGGCCATCACAATTTTTACCTTCACAGTTTAACGTAAAAGATTGCACGAACAAAAAAAAGCGAGCCATCTTTTTTTTTTTCTTTCTTTTTTTTTCCTGTTTTGGCATACATTTGCGTGCTCACACTAGCAACGCAACTAGTCATGCTTGATTGCAGCGACTGGTGACACCTAGCTAACCGCATTTATTCGTATCCAACTACAGTCTAAGCTCGTTATAACAGACCTTGATTTTAACCAAGATTTTGGTCTGTTGTAAAAGGAGTATGTTGTATGCAGATACGAAGTTGAGTCAATGGTACATAGAGGAAAACCAATTGAACTTCACAAATCGGTATGTTATACCCAAATGTCTCTTGTAACCAGGTCTGTTATAACGAGCTTAGACCGTATCGCAGTCTCAAAGCGTGGAGAGGACGTCAGAATGTGACGTGGTGCTCTTGTTGTAACGGTCACGTGTACCGCGGGCTAAGGACGGCGTTCACTCTGTCTCTCCCTCAAACACCCCGGCCATCTGGCCCGTTCCCGATTTTCCTTTTCCGTGCCCCGTCGAAGCGAACCCGCCTCCGCAAACTGCAACCCCATCTAGTCTTGGAGGTGTCGTGGCTTCGATCTTGGGTTTCTTTTTCCCTTTTTATTCTCTCGGCTGTACATGCGGGGTTTGGATCCCTTTTTTAGAATGTTTTCTGCATTGTAACGGCATTTGGCCTTAAAGCTTGTTGAGATGCTTCGCAGACAAAAGAGCTTTGTAAGTGTTTTGTGGGCGACGTTTTGTCCGAAAAAAACTGATGGACGTTTTGCTTCGGTGCGTGTTGAGCCAGTACGGACACTGATCTGAGACGTGCTTGTTTTGGAGTTGGGAGACATGACCGCCTTCGTTTTTTTGGTAGGTTTTGTATTGGGTCTTTTGTATGAGCAAGTACCCTGTGAACATCTATTGAATGTATAAATCTAGCCCCTACTTTTCTAGGAGTAATCCTCTTCTTTATGCTTACCTGCACCTTTACAAAAGAATAAAATGGTGGTATTTGCGAGTAAAATGCTGGTTTACTCCATCTGACGGAGGAGTCTAGTGCCCATTTAACACCCTCTTGGGATGTCTGAATCTAAGACTACCTTGCTGGGGGAATAACAGTTCTATTCTACTGGCAGTCAGGTCCATGACATACTACTATACTTCTGGAGTAGATTTACATCCTTTATACGAGTACTACAAGCTTGCAGGGCATGAACCATTTTTCATAAGGAAAACCCAGTATGCCTACTTCTGACCGACCCCACAGGATTCTAATGTGTCTGGGGCTGAAGGAAGGTTTCACGAGAGCTTATCTGTTTCTAACCTGCCAGTTTACCGATTTCGTGGCCAAACTTGTTGCCTTGGCACTGAATGGATGGCGAAGTACAAAGCTCAAGCTCACTTTGAGTAGTCTGTGGATTTACCACATTTGGGTGGGAGTCAATAACGGGCAAGCATCTACAATGCTAGCATAGTCCGGCGCCTTTTTGAAAGCGTTTTCATAGTTCTGCATAGCGAGTTTGTGGGCAGACTACCATACTCCTCTTTTGGATCAGTTAGCCCCCAAAAAACATGGCCGCACTCACCACTTGTTCGATATTCGTGGCGTCACCTTGTGTCACTTGGGAGCGTCTTTTGATTCTATCGAAAAGTGGAGCTCTAGGCTTGTGCCCGCGCTTGATTGCTTATTTATTGCTTCTCTTTTTTCCCCGTGGATCCCAACAAGACGTTTTCCCTATTTGTCCCCATTTCCCTGGACGTGTCCCTTACCGTTGTCACTAGTGCGCAGACGTTTCCCTACGATTTTCCCTGATGACCAGAGGTTGTCCCACAGTTGCCTCCTAGGCGTGTCCTCTGGGCTTTCACTCCTCTTGTTGGATTGGATTACGTGAGACTTGGGCGTTACGATGCAGTACCCTGTGGCAAGCAGACGCATCTCGTTCGAGCTGTGCCCTTGAATACCTTTTTTAGCTTTCCATGTGTGTTTTTACACTCAATCGAACAAAGTGGCAAAGCTAGTAGTAGTTCCTTCTTTTTTTTTGCTTGGGTCTTTCGTGTTAGGATGTGTGCGGCTGGTATACTTTTAGACGAGGCTTTTTGCGCGCTGTGTACATATCCCTGGGGGCCTGTGAATAATACAACTTGCAGAAGCGAGAGGGTGGGACGAGACAAATGTGCCTTTGTATACACACCTTACTTAAGACGACGTAGTCTAGAACAAGGTAGTACAATAAATTTTCTCCGCGGGGGTTTGTTACTCGGAGCTGTGTGTGCATTCAAAGATACTCTGCCATTTTTTCCCTTTCCTGTCTATGTTGTGGAGAAGTGGGAAGGGGAGATGCCTCGGTGTCGATTCCCGCCTGCTCTGGTGCGATGAGCGGTGTATTTCGGAAGGTCGGCATATTTCTGCGTTGACGTAATATATTTATTTATGATGTGCATGCGCGAATAGAACTTTCTTCTGTGTCATCCCCCCCTTCTCCAAGTAACTTGATCATGGCTGTTCGAAGCAACTGTTTGAAAGTAGGCACTTCTTTTTTTTTCTAAGTGTCAGTCTTGACATGTGTGTTTGTAATAAAAGGCTTTTTTTTGTGAGATTGAGGGTCGTGGCTGACTTGATTTGTCTCTGTCTGCTTGCCAACAAGAGCTCTTCATTCACCCAAACCAGTTGTAGAGGCGAGCTTTGGGATGTGCGATGAATGGACGAAAACGTCTCAACTCGAATTGGGCAGCGTGTTGCACCACCTGGCCGGTGCACGTGCCACCAGTGGTGCCAATCTTGTGGAGTGATTACAGACAAGGTTGAATTTTATTTTTTTAAAGCACAGAATGGATTATAGTTAAAAAAGACCTCTGCCTTTTTTTTTTACCATATTTGGCTGGAAATTGGTAAACCGCATCAATAAATTGTTTTCGACTACCAGCCGACATGTTTTAATGAAAAATAATTGGCCATTCCACTGTGTAGAGGCGGATGACCAGCGAAGCTGTGTAGCAGACGACACAGACCCGCCCCAAGGAGCCGGAGGAAACTAGACACTCGCGACGGGACTGCCACCCTGGGAGAGCGGAAAGAAACTAGGCACGCAGGCGCTTGGAACGACGACGAAGAGAGGGCGGTGTGAGCGTAGTAGTGATGCAAAACTATCAATAAATTGACTATCGATAGTTTTGGAAAAACTATCGACAGTTTTTCAATAGTCGACTATCGATTCTACTATCGATAGTTTTTTACTATCGACAGATTTCTTGCGACTATCGATACTATCAGTAGTGCTATCGATAGTTTTGCATCACTATGTCCGTTAGAACGCAAGACGGTAGAGGGAGGGTAGGACGGGCCGGGGAGGAGGACGCGGACGAAACGCTAGAGAGGTTTCCGCATCTCTTCTCCAGCCTTCCGTCTGCTTCCTCCTCCCCGGCCCGTCTTACCCTCGCCCTTCCTACAGTTGCCGCACCGCCGCTCGCCACCCTTTCTCCTCGCCCACACTCCCGTCTTCGTCATCAATGGAAGCTGAACCAAAGTTGGGATAACTGCCTGGGCTAGTTGGTGTCCCATTTGAAAAAAGAAAAATAAAGCGATAAAAAGAGAAGAGGGAGCGACGCAAACAACTAGTGTCGCAGAACTATCGATAGTAAATCGTCGACAGTACCATCGATAGGTTTACGATACTCGAGTATCGATAGTTTTCCGATAGTCGGCTCGATAGTACTATAGATCTTTTTTTATTGTCGATATTCAGATTTCTGGCGACTATCGATAGTACTTTCGATAGTTTTGCACCACTAGAGCGTAGACATTGCCCAGAGCCGTGACATTGCCGACGCGAGTCGTGGAGCGGCGAATCTTTGAGAAACCTTTATTATCTACCTGAGAGTCTGCTGATCTTGAAAATGGTGCCTATTAACTACTCTACTCAATAGACATATTGCTAAATTACTGAAGCATCAAAGGGAAGGATGCACGTGCCGGCGTCTGCAGCGGCGTAGCCTCGCAAAGCCTGGCAGCACAGAGCATCGAAGAGCCATTTCTCGGGGAACCTGGCCGTCAGCGCACAGCTTTTGCAGCAGCGAGGACCCGAAACACACCCTTTCGGTCGGGAAAAGTGTTTCGGAATCTCGCCGCAGCGAGATTCCGCCAGTTACGTGGCTCTTTTCTCATCCGTTGTTGGCCGCTTCTCGTGGCGATCTGCCAGGCTTTGTCAGTATATAGGAGGCTATGGCAGCAGTAACTGTTCTAAAGCAAAAGCCTTAAAGAAATGGCATCTTGCACGAGCATTCGTCAACGCTTTATTTTAGATATTTTCTTCGAACCTTTTATACGGGGAAGGCGTGCGGCGGTGCGAGCGTAGCTTTTGGTTACGCACACAGAAAATCTACGGTACCTTAGCCATAAGCAGCGCTGTAAAAAAAGATTTCATCGAGTTACTGAATTTTTAAATTACGTAGGCCGCGGGAGTTCCAGGAATGAGAAATCCCTACTTTTCCCTGTCACTGGTGGGAGGAATTTTGTTTAGGATTTTTTATGTTACATATATTTACCGAAAAACGGGATGGGCTACATCTCAATATTCGAATTTTCGAATAGTAGTATCGAATAATACGCTCGTTGATATTCGCTTCGAGATAAACTCTAATATTCGAATTTTTCGAACAGCACCGGCGCATTGCGGAGAAGCAACACCCGTGGACCTTGCTTCCGCCAGGTTCTGGCTTCCGCGGGTGTTGCTTTCCCGCAGTGCACCGGAGCCTGGTAAGAAGCACGCTCAGCGGGAAGAACCCGCCGCCATCAAAACCTTAATGGTAAAAAGAAACGGAAACTTTGGGAATGTTGATACCTACACTAAAGTTTTTAATAAAGGATATTAGCATAAATTCCCTCGATTAGGTATAGCTGGGTATCTTTATACTTTTAATTTTATGTCAACTGCTTTGTTTACTTGCCATTCACATGTAGGCAATTGGCTTCCTGAGGTAGCAGTTCTTAAATATAGCTAGACTAAAATTAACTTAGCTACAGATATGTACAAATGTAAGCTCCGGAACAACTTTAACAAGTTCAGATGGGTCTTCGTCGTGGTGCAGTCGTGAAAACCTTGGCGAAATTATTCGATTCGAAAATATTCGGCCAGAACCACTATTTGCTCCGAAATCGCTTCGAACTGAAAATCTATTATTCACACATGCCTAGAGAACTGCATGAAGACGGCGGTTCTCTCGGTATATCATTTATTGTATACATCGTCATCACCAGAATTACGCTGTTCGTAGTTCCCTGCTTCATGCCAGCGTAACCATGAAAAAATTCCTTTGCGTGCTCGTGTATGTCGTGCACAGTTATCTGGTACGCTCTACTATTTTTCATTGGTCCTCTGCACTGTGTGGATGGGCCAAACTTCCTGTGCGCTCTCGTATATGTCGGGTGAGTTCTCGGGGTCACAATTATTTTGTGATATAAATAGTGAAATATTGCGCTTAAAGGTTAACTATATGTAGTTGTCCACATACACTTGGAGCCGTTGTCGGCGTGTTTGTCAAATGTTCGGCGTGCAGTTTTGTCGCAAAAGAGGTGGTGAAAACGTTTATCTTTTATTCTATGCGTAGAATTGTTAAATAGGGTTGAAAAAAGTTTTCAAAACTATGAAAATATAAATGTCTTTGAGGGGAGGTGTGTAAATTTACCGCTGATAGGGGCTTCGGAAAGCAAACTTTTTTTTTAATCTTACATAAAATTATTTCCTTTCCTCTCGTGCACGAGTGTTCGAACACATTGTAATCTACTCAAAAAGCAAAATAAAATTATATATCTACTCGAACAACTATCCTTTATTTGAAGATGGATAGTGTATTCGTATCTTTTATACGCCTGTCATTGCACCTTGATGCTGGGCTTAATGGTTGCGGAGTTCTTTTAGTTTTTTTTTATTTTTATTTTACCACGATCTTCATGAACCACAACCTGCATCCTGAACTACACAAGTAGCGCCAAGCTCCCCGCATGGTCGCCATTTTGGTTTATAGAATGAGTCATTTCTCCTTCAGCTTTCCATTCTCCGTGGGCCGATCTCAATTTGCTGCTGTCCGGTAGCTTTATAGAGGCGCTTCTTGATTGCCTAATATCCATACGCCAGAGAAGCAGGCACCACGTGCGGCCCCGGTGCTTGGCGGCATTGAGAAATAATTGTCTTTAAATACGCAAGAACAACGATACAGATGTAAGAGAATTATGGAAATAAGCATGATTGATAAGTGGGATGTATTCACAGCGTCAAAGACGCTTATATTGGCTAGGAACGCTTTCAGTATAAGATGGTGCTCCGTAGCGGTCTTGGTGCGACTGGTTCAGAACGACCCTTTGGCAGCTTCGAAGATTTGAATTGACCGAAATGGCGATTTCCACGGCAATTAACTGAGATCATTGAACCACATCTTGCGAGGTTGAGTCGTGTGTGTCTTAACATTTGTCTTTGTCCCTTATATCAGACAGGGAAGGCAATATTTCTCATGGATCCAGGGACTTTAGGCTACACGAATGCCGTTAAAGTTTCATTCTACAGACCATTTCAATGTTTACGAGAACCAATTAGTCCACCCGTATTATAGGTCACAGCCCAGCACGCGCATGTCCGTCGCCTTGGAAGGCGAGCAAGGCAGGCGTCACACGCACGGACGCTGTAAATGTCACCGACCTGCAGGGTGCGGCGGGGAACGCGAGAGTCCGGCACAAATTGCCGCCGTCTGCGATTGGTCAGCTTCGCGACGCTGACCAAACGCAGAAGGCGGCCAAATGTATGGACGAAAGTATAGGCGACAGAGGCGACGCCGCCGGCCTGCTCCTTGCCCTGGCTTGTGGGGAACTGAAGAAGAGGCAGAAGGCCGGCGTTCGTTCCTTCTGCTGCAATCGTCGAACTCCCAAACAATGGACGCGCCCTGTCCCTCCAGCAGCGCGAACCCAACGAGCTCTCGGGCCTCCAGCGACCCGGTGACCCTCCCGAAGCCGCCGTTCCAAGTTCGCACGGTTCTGACAGCTGCGGGAGTTCTGCTGTTCGCCGTCTTGGCGACGGGCAGCGTGGTCTACGCCACTCAATACGTAGTCAACGCCCAGCTTGCCAAGGTAACCCCATGGGGACGAGCCTTCCTAAAAAAAAAAAGCTGCTTGCCCTTTGATATGTCCCAAAGGAGCTCTAAGAGCATAGCGTAGCACACCATTCCAATATTTAAAAATCCACAGCCCAGCATACCTTCTTCGCTTCGGAAAGCGAACAGGGCACGCGCCATATGCGCGAACGCATGGAAAATGGCACCAGTCAAAAGCCTTTTTTTTTTATGATTTTAAGCAGGGGTCTCTAAACTTCTGCCCGCGCTAAAGCCCCTCTATCCTGGGAAAAGTGGCGCCATTCATTGTTGCGGGAGTGCTCGAAACACGTGCCGCGTGCCACTTCTTTGAAGAACATGGTGTCTGAAATCTAGCTCAGTGCTGCGCTGTGCCGCCATGATCATTCCCAAGGGCTGACGTTGCACGTGCCTCGTGCATCGACGCACCTTGCGCTACTTCTGAAACATGAAGGGACTTTAGCCCGCGCATGGCTGCGGTCTTTCAACTGACGCCCGGCCCGCGGCCAATTACTATACCAACGAAAAAAAACGCGCGTTAAAAAAAAAAAAAAGAAAACTTGCGTTGCGACGAATGAACGAGAACTCATCAAAACGCGGGTTCTCTTATAGCCTCGTCCCACTGGAGCGACAAACACCGATTTTTGTCCGACGACACCACAAAGTTCCGTGTCGCCGATGCTGTCCCACTGCAGCGACCAACACCCGCGACAAGCGCCGACAAATGATCGACGATGGACGAGTTCTTGTCTGTCGTTGGACTTGAAGCGCAGCAAGCAGTCCCGCTGAGGAACATCTCTCGGAGACAAACTTATCCTCCTCGCCCGTTTGTGCCTTCTTTTGCCTCCCTTCCCACCCTTCCTCCCAGAACGAGAAGCCCTTGGCGGCGACTCCTCGTTCCCAGCCCTGCAGTTCCGGTCCCTCGATTGCCCGTAGTGGTCGCGGCTTGCTGGCTGGCGCCGGGTGGTCGTGTTGCAAAAGGGAATTTGCTGTGGCTGGTTTTGCTCGCGAAAACTTGGTGCGCGAGGTGGTGCTTCAAGACGCCGAAGTCTACGCCCCTGCATCAGGATCGATACACTAATGTGCGAGGACTGACCAAAGTAAGACTGCTCACCACGAAGTAGGACACGACGTTCCGCGGCAAGCCATTCCGCAGACGAGAGTCTTGTCATCACGTTCTGTGATAATCGTGATGCCATATTGTCCACCAAAGAGCGCCTTCCCTCGATCATTCGAATATGAAGTTATAAACATGCTCAATATCAGCGTGAAATTCCGTGGCGTTCACCTAGAATGCCTCGAACGGCCCAAAAAATGAACGATTCGGGTATTTCTAGTTCAGAAGAAGTTTGGTGTCGATTGTTACGACTGTTTACGGAAAGTCGCCAGCGGCAAATGAAGAGAAGCGGAAGCTTCAATCAAGAGATAAAGTAATTGTCTCCACTTTCACCGTGTTTGTCGGCGCGTTTTATGCCCAAAGAGCAAAACACGAAAACGGCGTTGCCAGACTCTGTTTGTCTGTGTATTTTGAATTGTTTTGTTGACAACTCCAGTCCCACTAGGAAACAAGTTTCCTTGCCCCCATGTTCTGCGTCGTGTCCGAAGGTGGGACAGCGGACTCCGACAAAAAGGCTGTCTGTCGGTGTCGTCTGTCGCTCGTTGTCCTGTGCAGCTGTCGTTTGTTGCTGTCTGTCGCTCTAGTGGGACGCGGCTATTACCATGTTATTTATTGTACACACGCCGGCAATATGAAGGTGAACACCTTACCTGGTTTCTTGCCTGTTTTACGGCTCCCTAAAGCTATATTAACTCTCGACATTTCAAATGGTACGTGGCTTGGGGTCTAAAATTTGCGTTCTAGCCCTCTTCTGGAGCAGATCTTGTTCCAAAACTTGCAGGAGCGTCAAAAACAAGAAAAGGGCTGTTCACCTTCATATCGGTCACGGGTGGACATTTGTCATCACCAGAATTACTCTTCGTAGTCCCCTCTTTCACGTCTGCGTAACTATTATAAAATTCCTTTGCGTTTTCATGTACACGGTGTCCCCGAAAAATACTTACAGGGTTTTTTTCCGCAGCAAAAATAAACTACGCATCGCCCAAACACTCATTTTTCGCCCGAATGTAGCGCTGGTGGTCCGAACCACACGTCAAATCTTCAGCACGAGCCGATATTTTATTCAAAAGGTATAGACCGACACGCTGTTTCCAAACAAGCCCGCGTTTGCCCACACCAGGTATGGGCACTGCGCATGCGCAGAAACCGAATTGGAGTGAACTGAAGCTTCTGCGCAGTGCCGTCGACAGCGCCACCGCAGCTGCGTGACGTCGGGGACGCGTGTTGGACTGTAAATGTCAAGGGGAAGATGGTGCAGCAAAATGGTGAGTTGGGCCAGTTGGTTCATAATGGAAAAAGACAAGCGCCGAAAGACCAGGACAAGGTAAGAAGACGACGACACAAGGCGCACTCGCAACTGAAGATTTATTTATGGAAAAACATAGTCTTATATACGCTTTTAAAAAACACCCACGTCACTTTCCACGTGCCCACTCTTTATCCAAGAACAGACACTCTTTTTCTGACAGAGTCACTGAAGGCTCGCTTATGCACTTATCTGCACCCTTCCTTATTGCATACGCCTCATGAATTTCCCTTGTAATCTTTTTGCTGTATCGCCCCAGGATTGCCACGTCATTGAAAACTGGTGTGCACTCACATCGGTTGCAATGCATAGCCAGGTACCCCGAAGGTGACTGTTTTAAGCAGCATGCTCTCTTGCGCGATCATTCACACAACGCCCAGTTTGGCCTACGTAAGACCTACCGCAAGAAAGCGGAATGTCATACACAACACCAGTGTGTCATTCTACAAACTTATTCTGGTGTTTTTTCTTACACTCGTCACTCTTCCCTTCGGGATCATTGATTTTCCTGCATAACACAGAAAGCTTTTTAGGGGCTGAAAAAACGACAGGAACGTCGTAACGTTCCGCCACCTTTTTTAAGTTATGAGACACTGCGTGAATGTAAGGCATTACAGCGGTTCTTACTTTTTGGCGTTCAAGAACGTTTCTTTCCGCACCCCTAAATTTCTTTTTGAGGCCCTCTGCAGCTTCAACAATGGATCTCAGCGGAAAACCCGCACTTGCGAGCCGATCTACCTGTAGAAGGAAACTCCTTCCCATTTCCTCAGGACAGGATTTGTTCAGAGCGGCTCCGAGGCACGAAGAAGCAATATCTCTTTTCACTAACTTGGAGTGGGAAGAATTAAAAGGGAGTACAGCTTTCTTGGAGCGAGGTTCGTAAGCCCAGCACACATGGTCATCTAAGAATTTTAGTTTTAAATCCAAATATTGTAACGAGCCCTCCGTGGTCCTCTCATGAGTGAATTTTAACCCATGAGAGCAGGACGTGAACGTGCCGATTACGTCAGCCACCTTGTTATCAGTGAGTTTGTTCCCTGGGAGGGCGATGACCAGATAATCATCAACATACCTGTATATTTTAAAAAGGCTATCACCTCCGAGCTTCTCAAGAATAGCGCGGTCGCAGTGTGCCAAAAAAATGTCGCACAGAATAGGCGCAACCCGCGAACCGATGCAGATACCCCGTTTTTGCAAAAACACCTCTCCACCAAAGGAGACATAGGTGTGGTCAAGGTAAAAAGATAAGAGTTCAACGAAACCTTCTACACTTATCCCGCAAGTGCTACGAAAGTCTGTTTCACCACTGCTCTCGATGCAACTTCTAACAGTGTTAAAGAGGACGGCATGCGGAATTGAATAAAAGAGATCCTCAACATCAACTGAAAAAGCGTCGCACTTCCCTCTACACCCCCCAGACAGAACACAAAGTCCTGAGGATATCCCCATAATATCCCGATGTCCCGGCCGGGAGGAACTAATTCTGGGGATATCCCTGGGACTGCAATCCTCAGGATATCCTGCAAGGGACATGTGTTGGAGATCATGTTAAAGGCCATTGTCCTGGGGACATTCGTCGGATTGCACCCCAGTATATCCTGTGCGGGAAGAGTTTGGGAAATTCTCCTGTTGAAAACTCAACCAGTAGAATACGAAACTAAACGCACAAAAATTTAAATATATATATATATATATATAAATAATTAAATAATTTAAATTGTTGTCTTATTATTATAAATGTACTTTAATATCATATTTAATGATTATAAAGCTTCAAATCGAATACGAAATTCTGGCGGTACTAGTATCGGCTATAGGCAACTTAGCGCGTGCGCAGTTTGTACGGTTGGACCATTTGGCGCGATTCCGTAAAGAAACGAACTCGTTTTCGTCGTGAAATGAGCAAGGGTGACAGGTAAGCACACTTTTTCTTACTTCATAAGTTTCGCGGTGTCAGATAAACTGTTCATGAACGCTTCGTGCGTAACCCTGTGATCGTTCTTGCTCGCGGTTTTGAGTGATCCGGACGCAGTGTTTGGTTGTGGCACAGGTGCGGTCGCGCGCTGTCATGCCTAAACACAAGACGTCCCGGACGTTTCGGCGGAAACTACGTGAAAATGTACGAATGAGTCTACGGTTGGCAGGCGCGGCCGTCGATTTGGTGTGCGATTCCGTCCCCGCAGTTTACTGTGAGACTGCGGTAGCGGGCGAGTCGGACGGGTCGTCCGGCAGTGAGGGACCCAGCTCCGGCATACGTTTTTCTGCTGCCACCGAACGTGACGCAGAGAGTCAGGAAACAGTCTTGAACACCAGTGAGGGAAGTCTCTTTTCTGGAAGTATCGAAAACACTGGAGGTTTTAATGTTTCCGTTCACAGTAATGACGGCGACAGTGGAGCCGCAGGTGCCGCGGGCGCGAAAATTCCGAAACCTTCAAGTGATAGAGAAAGCGGTTCTGTTGACCAATTTAGAAACGACTTAAGGCGATGGAGTATCAAGAACAGTATCTCCCATCAGGCTCTGAATGACCTAACATTGGTGAAGAACCGTCCCTGCCAAGCCGTGCTAAAACTCTGCTTG